ATACATTTTTTCCTTTTTTTTATATTGTCTGTTATCTTTTATAGTCAATAAAAGTATTTAAAATATACACAGACCTTGTGTCAGTTAGGCGTGCTTCCCACTGAACTCAATGGAACATGCTTTTGAGTAAACATAGTGGTGTGCTTATATAATATTAGACTCTGGACCGAATGGTTTTACACACACCTGGCTACTTTTAGGAGGCCATATTTATTACTTTAGCAGCAAAGTGCATTGCTTAAATGGGTTTCCCCATGAAAAAGTGAATCACCCTGCCATCCCATGCTTTACAACTGCTTCTGCTTTTTTGGTAAGTTATGTGTCTTTCAAGTCTATAGTGACCCTATCATGGGGTTTTCTTGGCAAGATTTGTTCAGCGGGGGTTTGCCTGTGCCTTCCTCTGAGGCTGAGAGAGTGAGACTTGCCCAAAGTTATCCAGGGGCTTTCCATAGATGAGTAGGATTCGACCCTGGTCTCCTTGAGTCCAGTCCCTCAGACTACTACACTATGCCGGCTTTCCTTTCGTGATAAGGCAGAGCACAAAACAAAACTGTTTGACCACCTGGATTTCAACAAATGTACTTAAACCTCTTGGCACGTGGAGCTTTGCATTTTCATTTCTAATCATACCGCTGTCCAAAACGGCAGAATTAAAATGGAACTTATGCCTGTTAATGTGATGTCAGACGTGTTTTGGGAAGAAGTGCCACTATGTTATAGAAAGGGGAATATATATTTAAGAGAGGAAGCAATAAATGAACGTTAGTATCCGTGTCAGTGGGCTGTCTTGACTATGACTTTTTCTTCTTCTTTAAAATAAAAAGAAAGGAAGGTTTCTGTGGTGTCCAGGGTCACCCTGGTGAGCCCCAGCATACCCTTTGGTTTGCCCTTTGGCTTGCTGCCTTTTGCTCTGTTGTCCGCTGGCTATTTTGGTTCATGCCTGGGCTCCATGGGCTTAGCAGCATTACCAGGAAGATGTAGAACATCCCACACTACACTATGATTGCACTAAAATTCCACTTTAGTTGCCATCACTCCATCCTGTGAAATCCTGGGATTTGTAGAATGGTAGGGGGCTTCCGAATTCTCCGATAGAGAGCTCTAATAGCTATCTACAGAGAATTCTGAAGTACCTCACCAAACTACAAATGCTAGGTTGCCATACAATTAGAGTCCTGGCAACTAAAGTGGTATTGATGTCCTGCAACCATGTAGTATGGATACACTCCCTGCAGAGAAGTTGTGTTGAAGCCATCAAAAAGTATGCTGAAACAGGGCTGCCTTGGTGGCTGTTTCCAGGTTCTAGAGCTCCCTTCGTGGAGAGGTTAGACTTCCCCATCCCAGTGTCCTCCAGGCAGTAGATGAGTACTTTATGGCTTTGTTTGTTTCAACAGGCTTTTGAGTCTTGACAACTGACTGCCTATGAGGAAAGTGTTTTACTAATGCATTGCATGTCTATATTTCTTACTTTTTAATGGATATGTTTTGAAATTGCTTTGAATTCTTCTTGAGAATTATATTTGAATTGTTTTATGTTTTGACTGATGGTCACTTTTCTCTGCGTGTGGTTTAAATGCTGTAAGCCACCCTGGTCCCAGGGCTAGGAAGAATGTGAGATACAGTTGAACAACGTCATTTATCTCACCCTTCTGCAACCTGGCGCCCTTCAGAGCCTCTGAACTACAACTCTCAGAAACTCCTATTGAGCACAGCTGCTTGCACGTCTCACCTTTGGCTTTCCCAAATGGACTTCAACTCCCAGAAGCACAAGTTAGCATGATAAGGTGTTATGCGGGCTGTAATGCAAATCATTTGAAAGGCCAAGTGTTTCCTCCCCTCGTGAAAGGAATACTTTTCTTGAGATTCTGGGAGCTGTAGTTTTGGATGGTGCCAGGTTGCAGGAGGAGGTTTTAATCCGTAGCTAATTAATGCCCAGTTTGACTTCTCAAATTTAACTCCTTGCTGGCTTAGACTCTCTCAATCTCTTGTCTCATGGCTTCCAGTCAGTGCTTTTACAGATTTGGATGATTCTGCAGAAGCCAACAAACTGATGTTGGATACAGAATTACCTCCTCCTCCACGAAATCTCAACGAAGAGATGGAGACATCATTGCTGTCACTTAAGGCTATGGCAATACACACCTGAAAGTGTATGGTCAGTATGTGGTGAAGCTGCCCGACTTGGAGGAGAGACAGACAAAATCTTGAGCAATGCAGCATTGCATGGCATTTTGCCCCTCCTCGTGACTCGCAGATTTGCTAAATTGGCATCTTTGGAGTCACAGCTGAAGTGGCGACTGAGGCAGTGAAGTTGCTGCCCATTGATCTGGCAGGCATGGATCCCCTGTGCCAGGGAGATCAAGCCAAATGGAGCTACCCAAAATCCATTCCTGAGGAAGAAAAACAAAGTTTTCCTCACTTCAGGACAACAGTCTAGAGCAGAAGAGAAGCAATTTTTTTTTTTTTTTGCTGTAAATCTTAAACTAGGAATGAGAAATCCCAATTGCTCTGGAATGGGGTGGAATCATGTGGCCTGTGGGTAGTTTTGCCACCCGGACCACCCCATGAGAAAAAAAAATGGCAAACAGAAGGGGAATTATCACCCCTGGCTACCTTTTAAACATACTATACAGGTCTCTCTACTCTTCTGACTTGAAAAAAAATCCTCTTTTACCAACTGGAAGTGAACTCCCAGCAACCTCAATTTTTTATCCTCCTGATGTGTGTGTCTGTGTGCTTAGTTTAGGAAGTTAGCTGCTGGGTCCTTGGAGCTTCTCCACTCCTGGGCTAGTGCCATTTTCCATCTGTTGCTTCCAAAGCCTGGAAACCATTCAGGAGGTTCCTGTAACATGTGAGTTTGGGAGGTAACCGAAGCATAAAGTGGGTCCTTGTGCAGAAGTGGTTTTGTTGTGTGCATTCAAGTCAATTCTGACTTGCGGCAACCCTAAGGTGTTTTCTCAGGAAGATTTTTTTCAAAGGAGGTTTGCCATTGCCTTCCCTTGAGGCCGAGAGCATGTGACTTGCCCAAGGTAATCCAGTGGATTTCATGGGAATCGAACCCTGATCTCTAGAGTCGCCGTCCAACACTCAAGCCACTACACCACACTGGCGCTTGTGCAGATCTGCATCAATACTTTTATTAATGTAATGGGTAATGTTTGTGTATGATCCCTAAAATGTTGCTGGGAGGGAGGGGAAGTCATTTAGTGGAGATGTTGGTGATGTTCATATTTATCTTTTTCCAAAAGTAGCACAATAGTAATGTGCTAGTAACATGCCTCTTTTCTAATAAGGAGTGATGATCTGCTGTAATGAGTAATGAACTACTTTTAAAAAGTAACAAGCCCTGATCAGCATCATGGAGGGTGAGGTGAGCAGGGCTTTGCTTGCTGGTACTGTTTTTCTCTATTGCACCTTGTCTCCCATCCCCTTCTTTGAGGATAAAGCCTTAAGCCGGGATCTTGTCACATGAAAGGAGACTTTGGTGTAGGAGTAGGAATGTTGTATCAGGACTCTGGGAGACCAGGGTTCAAATCTATACTTAACGCTGGAAACCCAGTGGTGGTCCTTGGGAAAGTCACAGCCTAAGAGGAAGGCAATGTTAGGCCTTCCCTGAATAAATCTTGCCATGGAGATGCTCGGACAGGCCCATCATATGTGGGAGTCAACTGGGAGGAACGTAACAACAACAGCTAGCACATGAATATCGGCTCCTTGCACAACTCTGATTTTTAGTCCTGTGCCATCCACACCTTCAGCCAACAGCTTCATGGACGATCTTTAACATGGAGCAAAACAATACTCATACATGGGCAACTGAGGCCACCTGTGACTTTTTACATGGGAATGCTTTCGCGTAAGTGGCCCAAAGCAGGGTGCCATTTCTGAAATCCATCCTAGGCTCCTGTCCGTTTTGCCCTCGAGGGCTGATTGACAGGAATGCGTGTGCATGACTCCCTTATACCAGGGTGGAATTAAGTTTAAAAATCCTAACATTTTTGGACCGTGACAGCAGCTGGTGTGGCATTTCAGCTTATATTTTATTTTAATTTTTTTTAACTGAGTGGTACAGGGGGAAAAAATGGAACAAAAATATGAAATCAGCTTTCAGTCTCAAAGAAACAGTTTACACATCTTTTTTCTGTTTCTGAGACTTAATGTGAATGTGGGAAATTTTAATTAGAAAGCAGAGTTGCCCAGGTTTTGAAAACTTTTTACTCTGTTGCGACAGGGATACCTCTATGACCCGTAGGCAAACTAAAGTGCTGTGTAGATGGAATTTTTCATACCTTTGTACTGTGTTGCTGTCTCAAGCATACGTTTAGTGTGGCACTTTTATTTTAATCTCCTTTACTGGCATTTTGTGCTAACATAATGGTTTTCTGGAAAGGTTAGATTTTTCTCCCAACAGTTTTGCTGCCTTTGTGGAATCTGTATTATTTGATTTGAGTTGGTCTTTGTAAGGATGGGTGTAAGGGACAAAATACCCTACGGGCACCAGATCCTGTCTTGAGCTTGAAAGTTAAGCAGGGTCAGTCCTGGTTGGTACTTGGATGGGAGACTGCCAACAAATACCAGGGGCTGTAGGCTCTATTTCAGAGGAAGGAGCTGGCAAAACCACCTCTGAGGATTCCTTGCCTAAGAAATTTATGAAATTCATGGAGGCACCACAAGTTGACAGGCGATTTGAAGGCACATGTATGCACAAAATGAATAAACTTTAGAGAACTGAGTGGTTAGAGCATTGAAGTGGGACTTGGGAGATCTAAATTCAAGTCCCAGCTCAGCCTTGCAGCTCAGTGGGGCTTGAGTTTTATTTACTTATTTATTTTACACCAATGTGGTACCCAGTGCTGTTGCTGTGTGCCTTGAAGTCATTTCTGACTAATGGCAACTTATCATGGGGTTTTCTTGGCAAGGTTTGTTCAGACGAGGTTTGCCACTGCCTTCCCCAGAGGCTGAGAGAGTGTGACTTGCCCAGGGTCACCCCATGAGTGTCATGGCTGAGCAGGGAATTGAAGTCTGGCCTTCAGAGTCATGATCTAACACTCTAACCACTATGCCAGGTGGTATCCAAAGCAACTTTCAATATAAGTGAAAACAAAATAGCTAAAACAATCTACAGTACAAAACTTCTTTTAAAAATATAGACAATCCAATGAAAACTTTGCTAAATTGATCAGTCGACAGATCTCTCTCTCTTCCCTTCCTCTCTCCTTCTCCCTCACAGGGTGGTTTTGATGAAGGATAAAGTGGGAAGGAGGAGGAACACTTGCCTGATCTTGAGAACATTAGAAGAAAGACGGGATAGAAAAGTAACATATAAGAATCGGCTTCTAGTGTGCAGACTCACATTATCTTTTCCCACACCACACTACCATCCACGCACCACCTCCTTACACTTTAGAGCAGTGCATACACAAAAGACGGAAGAAGTTTGGGGCTATTTCCTTGAACTTGGAAGCATGAATTTGCCCCTAACCTATCTGCCTTTTTTTCTTTTGCTTTCTTCTTTAAAATAAAAAGCTGATCTATGCATGGCCTCTGAATGTGCAAGTCTTGCAATTAAAACTGGGACACTGGTAGCCTTGCATTCCCAGCCGCCTTACAAAGTTCCGTGTCTTACATTTGGAGCCAGCAAGACCCATTAAATTCCTTCTCTTTGCCTACTTCCCAATTTCATGTTTTCGGGAAGAGAGGGCCTAACTATCCTTCCACCTATTCTGATAGTTATTGTCGTGTTGGGTGATAATGCCGTTCTAAAAAAGGATGGGTCCTGCAAAAGCAGAGAGGTGCCAACAGTAGCGCTAACGTGGTTCGACAAGTCGTTTCTTTATGCATTTCATCTTGTAAAAAGAGGGAAAATGCCTATAAAACTACTGCAAAATTGTGATAAGCTGCAATCTGTAAGTGCAACAAAGTCGCACCAGAATATGTGCATTCTATGCAGCCAGGAATGCTTTGCCTGCATATGAGATAAATAATAAAATAAATAAAATAATAATAAACTTTATTTTTGTATCCTGCCTTTTGCCTAGGCAATCAAGGCAGCTTACATTGTTGACATAGATAAAACAAACCCCACATTGAACAATAAAACATGATAAAAACAAGTTAGCTAAGTTTAGCCTTCTTAGGATGTTGATAGTATACATACGGAGACTGGAGTTCCTTCACTTTCAGCTTTCTCCTCTCTCTAGAAGTTTAATCTCAGAGTACCAACCTCTTGATTGGTTTCCAAACCACAAATACGTGGGCACCCCAGTATGCCAGGGGCGCCGTTGCCATGCCTAAACCACAGACTAGGGGTAGAGAAGATTTGGCCCTCCTGGTGCTTTGGACTTCAAAGCCACAGCCACGAAAGTGAACTCCGAAACATCTTGAGGGTGAAACATTTCCACCCCTGCCATAAAACATATTGTAAATGTTTTTGAATTAGGGGGTGTGTAGTTGCTGATAGTCAAAATGTAACCAGAGTGGCCTGTGAGATGGGCCTATGTTTGAAACATAAATAAACAGGTCGGCTTTGAAAAAGAATATATGAAAAGAATATATTTTTGGAAGAGCACTAGAGGGACCATGGGTAAAAGGGCTTGGATAAAATCTGTGGGGCAGGAATCATTTTGGAATTTGTTAAAAACCCTTCTTCCTGGGCATCAGCCTGCCGTTGACAATGATGCTCAAATTATGGCCAAGGAGAAGGAGTAGTCCAGAGTCCCTTTGCAAAAAGTCGACGCTGCCTATCTCTTTTCTGCCCCTGCAAAGTCTCCTTTCGCAAGGGAGGGCCAGGGTGAGCAAGATAAAGCAAGGCTGGCTCCCTGGCGCAGTTATGGACTTATTTGCTTTTAAACACCCCTGTTTCACAACTGGTCAAAAACCTTGATCCTCATCTTTTTCTCTCCCCCCCCTCCCCTTGTTTCTTTCCTTCCCCTTCTGCTGTTGTGGAAACTGAAAAACTGGGAGGCCATGAAACATGCCCTGAGTCACAAACCGATGAGGTGGATGTTACCCAAACCCAGCTGTGAGCTATCTGATCAAACCGTGTGGTTCTCTCCCCCAGCCCATGCCCTCAGGGCTGCACAATCTGTTATCTTACCCCTGGAGTCTATAGTTTTTTCCACCCTTCCTGCCTTGAACTGCAGCTCTGAAACATCCCAGTGTTCTTGGGTGGGTGAGTTGGGGTTAAGGTCTGAGATACGTTCATGCGCCTGTCTAAATGGAGGCCACACCTGTGCCCTTAACCCTCATGCGCTAGGAGATTTATTTATTCCCCCTTCCCAACTTGCTTTGTATGAATTGTGGAATGTTTTTTGACCCCGGCGAGAATCGTAGTCCTCCGTACCGCCAAGTATTAAAATGCCCTGCGTCCAAAGGAGTGTTTCTGCATGCAGAATTGAGTGTGTTCCACCCCAAGTACACCGAGCCAAAAAACACAAGCAAGGATAGAAGTCAAATAAAATTGGATAAATTAATCAAATGAAATGTAAACTTCTTTTATTGTGGAATATTCTTAATCCCAGTGAATAGCACCCACTGCCTCTGGAAGGAATTTCTTGTCTAATGGCGAAATAGGCAACATACTGACAACCAGGGTCCAACGCTTCTGTTTTGTCTCATCGGGCTTTCCTGGAAAATGACATGGGGATTTTTTGATAATGTCCCAATACATTATATTGGCTGAGACAAAAAGATATTCCACTCTCAGAAATGAGTAGATTTGTTGGGATATTTTTCATCCGAGACAGGCTCTGTTCGTAGGAGGGGGGAAATGCTGTGTGTCAAGTGGCTGCAATTTAGGGACGTTTGTAACCACCGCGCAGGCGACACCGTTGTAGGTCTCATTCTGTATGGGCTCTGCAACAAAATAGGTCTAAAATATTCTGTGCTGGTGTGTGAGGGTTAAAGATGGGCAATAAGAAAGGAGCAGGATGGGAGGAAAGAGGATGGCCAGGGAGAGAGATAGCTGGATAAGTAATCACCTATTTGCTTTGCCCAGTCATGCCCAAAGGGCCGCAGGAAGCCACATGAGTCACTGGTATGGTATTTATAGCTTTGCCCTCTGTAAATGACCCTGTGGCACTAGGCCTCCTTTCAGTGGTGAGGCAGCAAATGGATTCTCGGAATGGGGAGTTGGCCAAGATAAGGGGCATCTTGCGGAATTTGTAAATCACTCCTAAGTTTTCTGGCCCATCACCTTGGTGAAGGCGAGGGCTTGACCTTTTCCTCCATTTTCTCCCACTCCTTCCTGTGATGCCAATCGGTTGCATGAGAGCTGCCCTCTGTCCTTTTTCAACAGCACCCTACTTTTTCTCTGGCTTCACTTGCCTGGCATTAAGTGGTGGGCTTGGTGGTTGGAGGATGGCAGTTCAAGGCTGCTTTGGTAAGATTTGGAAGCAGGTGGGCATTTGTGATCTAGAGATGTATAATTTGGAGGGGAGGAGGAAAACCAAGGTGATATTGTGGTTAGAGAGTTGGAGGAAGGTTTGAGAAATCCACACTCTTGTCCACACTGAGCTGTGAAACTGACTGGCTGATCTTGCTCTCACTCACCCTGGCCTACCTTACCTACCTTACAAAGTTGTTTCGTGGTTGGGGAGGACAGCCTTGAGCTCATTCAAGCAATGGAGGGATACAAATGTAAAGAAATAAAATAGCTGAAGGCAGGATTTGGAAGCATTTGGTCCTTCACATGTTCTTGGACTGCAACTTGCATCCAACTTAAGTAGCATGGCCGGTGGTGAAGAACCAAAGTTGCAGTGTAACATTTGGAAGGCCGTATACATCTCTACCTCCCTGATTTAAAATGACTGTTGGCTATAAATAATACAGCTTGTCTGAAATAGCTTAAGATTCAAGTGCTTAGCCTCCCATTTCATGAAAGATGGATAAGTCTCCTTTTGCATCAGTCTCCCTTGATGTGTCTCTTGTCAAGAAGCAAGATACCTCCATTATGACTGTCAACAGGAAGGCAGCCTGGCTGTATTATGTGTACTTGGGCATATGAAAAGAAGACTGCTGCACTTGATGCACTTGGAAGCTGGGGCTTAATGCAGGACTTTGGTGTTGCTAGTTTATTTTTTTTTAATGGCTATACCAGCAGTCCACCAAAATGCGCAGCAGTGTTGGGCTGGCTTCTTTGAGCAGGCTTATAGCAAAACAATTTCTCTGAGTGAGTGGCACAGTTTTTCTAGTTTTGCTCCCAGGTATAATGCAGATCCCTGGTCTGACCCACATGGCTGGCTCAGCCATTGGGTGGAATGAGAAAGCTGAATTGGGCTATTCTGAAAAGCCTGCAAATGGTTGTTTTAATTTATTATTACCTCCGTTTTTGTTTCCACAGCCTGGGAAGGGTGCTTGTGGGCTTTTCTGCTTCTTTATGCCAAAATAACATGACTGGCTTTTGGTACTATTCACCTATGGTGGCAGCGAGGAGCATAGGAATAGGTGGCTCCGTTTGCTTTTCCCTGTTTTGGGCAGCAAACCATTTTGGTTTGATCTTCATAATCCAGGAAATATTGGTTTAGAAAGCTCTTCTTCCTTCAGTAGCCCAGTTTGGCTGTGCACAGTTGGTCAGCCATGCCGTCCCAACAAAAAATCCAGTTCCAGATAAGCTAGTTCTTGGAGGCTGTAAGGAATTTGTTCCTACAAAGGGCTCAGCTTTCCAATTTTTCCTACATTTTGTTTTCAAACAAAAGTTAACCTCCTGAATTCTGTATGTTTGATTGTGTGCATTGGAAGATATATATGTATATCTCTAATACTGGAAATTGGAAAGGTTAGTGCTTTCTCAGGGTAACTCCTAAAACTCTGGAACTTCTTACCAAAGCAATCTAGGACCTAAATCCAATTTTTAGTCTTATCTAGAGTAGATCCATGGAATAAATATGTAAACATTGGAACCATTTAATCCCTAGATTACTTTAGCAGGGAGTTCCAAAGGTTCACTGATCTGAAGGAGATCTAACTGGTTGCGTGCTGATTATGTCTTTTATTGTTGGATCCTTAACTGAGTTGTCTTTATGTTACATTCGAATCAACATTTGTTCTTCATCTGTCCTTTATTATTGTTATC